GTGTCATGCTAAAAAAATTTAACGAGCTGACTAGAGCAAATGTTATGTAGCCTGGAAGGTAAAAACTGCATAGGAAGTCTCTTTAAAAAAATGTCCTTTAATTCAGAAATAGCTTGCAACTGCTCTTAATTTATTCCTTAAGCACAAACAAGTCACTTACTGAATTCTTTTTCAAAGCACTCTGCTCTAGAAGAGACCTAACGTTTTGATTTTCAAAGGCCAGCCACCCTTTGTGTAAAATTGCATTCACACATCACTGCTCCTGCACTTAACAATGCAAACATCTGTGACCCCACAACAACACCTGTGCACTTGCATATGTGTGAGTTCACAATCTCAAAATAATGGGGTTTGTGGGTACAAACTCTGACTTGTGTACTCAGGTGCTAGTTTATTTAAAGGGTGAGTATGCATTCAAACTTTTACAGAACACATGCAGGTGTTTGCACTTGGAAACTGCAGGCCCTGGTACTGGAAGCAGAATTTTGCTCATGCACAAATGGGGGCTGGGTTAAAGCCAAGCTGAAAATGTACCTCTACATATTCTATCATTAATACTGGGAGACACAGGATCACAAATCTTCAGCTAACTAGGGAAGCCATCAGTAGAGCCTTTGGATCAGATTCCAAACTCAGAACAGTGTAAACCTATTTATTTTAAGAGGTTTCAGAGTAGCAGCCATTTTAAGAGGGTTTTTTTCCTTCAGTGAGATCAGAATCTAGCCCCCATTCACTGCACAGTGCCTTTGTCACCAACTTGTCTTGGAAATGTTGCATGAAAATATTGCTTACAATGAAATGTGAGGAGTCAAAAGCTTCTACAAAACAGATAAAACTATCTGGCTTCAGCACCATCAGTATATCTTAAGATACATTCCTGTGAAAAGATTGCCTGAATACCCTCCCCTGTGTAGTAGTAACTAATAGTTAGCAATCCTGCAGAAAGCAATATATTTCACTCAACTCTCTGTCTTTATTTTTCGCAGAGACCTTGGAGACCTTCACACCTCCATGGGTATGATATAAACTAGTCCCCACTTATCAGGATATAATGGATCAACTGTGGAAGACAGGGAAATTCTAACATCCCAGCAAACATGACCCTGTGTTAGAGAACAGTGCTCTACTAAAGGCAGGATGTTGCCAGCACACTATGTGAATCAGTGCCCTGCCTGCTGGGTGAAGTGGATTTGTTTTATTAAGTGAGTAATTATTCTTTGTAAAACCTTCAAAAACAACTGAAGATACCAAGTGCCACAGCAGCTGCCAAAGATAAAACAGTGAACCAGTAAACATCTCACTGCACAAGAATCTGCCATCTTCCTACACTGGTATTTCTGCCAAATTCTTGTTGAGATTTTCATAAGGATCGCCACATAAACACTTCTTTTAAACTCATTCAAAGTCCCCAGGACTGAACTGACATCCAACTGCAGATTTTTTAGCCTTATATCCTGCCAAGAGGGGAAAAACGCTGAAGGTATTTGGCTCAAGAAGAAGCTGCTTCTAGAACTATTTCCATGATTTGTTTATATCTTAGAGAAGGAGAAAGTTTGCCATACCTTGCAGTATAACTACCACATTCAACAATTTTTAATAAAGATTAGATAAGTTATTGCAAATGAGGTTTTCACTGCTTGACTTTTGACAGAGTAAATTTAAAAGGAACAGCCTATCATTTTTGTGTGACGCTTCTTGCACAATTACGTGTGAATGACATAATTATGTCAAAAATGCGTGGGGTCCTCAGGACTCTCCGGTTTCAAACACAGGCCCACTGTAATATATCCAGGGTTCCTTTATTAGCTGACTCAGTAACTGAGCATTACTACACTATTACACATGTACAGGATAGGTGAGAATGTTATACTGTGATCCTTCAAATGTCATCTATTCTGAAATGTAATTGTAAAAATGGCACTTTCTTACACAGCAGATCTGCTCAGTGTGTGTGTGTGTGTGTGTGTGTGTGTGTGGTGCTGCTGTAGCTGTGTCAGTCCCAGAATATTAGAGAGAAGATTGGTGAGGTAATATTTTCTATTGGACCAACTTCTGTTGGTGGGAGAGACAAGCTTTCAAGCTACACAGAGCTCTTCTTCAGGTCACAGTGGGTGTGTACTCAGTCAGATCTGCAATGAAAAAGATACCACTTCTTTAATACACCAAACCAGCACAGGTCTGGGAAGTGAACTGCACAAAAACAGAATTGTTAACTAGCTCCCAATTGCAGAGTCACCGGTACAACACCATCGTCTTCAAACTGTGTAGTTACACCTCAGCATTCAGTGCAGCTGCATATGCATAGCTGAGGGTATAATCTGAGGAAAGTGGGATTTGAACAGATGTAAATTTGGGCTTCATTTGGTTCCCAGTATCTCTATTACTTGTGGAGATGTACAAACCAATAGAAACAAGCAGGGCTTCCAGATCCCAGGCTGAATTTACAGCTCTGGCATTTAACAGCAAAATTGATATAGAATTCATTGAGAGACAAACATGGAACCACACAATGCCTAGTCAGGAACAATGGTCTCAGGGTTACGGCACTGGACAGGGACTCTGGAGATCTGGATTCAATTGGCAGTTCTTCAACAGTCTTCCTCTCTGACCCAGAACACATTACAATCTCGCTATGTCTCGGTTCCCCGTGTGTCATATGGGGATGATATTTCCATTCACCCACTCTTTGTCTATATTTAGATCACAAGCTTTTGGGGCAAGGAGCATCTCTCCCTAGGAGCATGTAGAGTACCTCGCACAATGGGGCTCCAATGTCATTTGGTGCTACTCTAATACAAATAATTATTAGAGCCACCCCAGAAAAGAACAATACTTCAATTTTTGCATTTCCTGATTGTTCTGTCTTTTTATATATATAATCTTAATGTAGCATTCCAAATAGGTGGAGTGGGTTTGTTTTGTTTTGGCATTTCATTTTCTCTGGTTTATTTTTTAATGGAAAATAAAGGGGGATGGTAAGACCGAGAAAAATGAAGTGCCTAGGCATGTGAGTACTGTTATTTATTTATTTGGGTTGAAAAAACATCTATCCCAATCTACAGGCATTTGTGTGAAATCTAAAAAATGTTCAGAATTTAAGGACAAATATCTCAGCTTTAAAGACGTGTTCATAACAATCTAGGGAGACCAGACGGATCGGGACTGTCCCAATATTTAGGCATTTGTCCCGCGTCCCAACCGACGTTTGGTCGGGAGGCAATTTGTCCCAATATTTCCCACTCCCGTTTTGTTGTTGTTGTTGTTCCGCTGGCGGGACTCCCCCTCCCTCCATGTGTCCCGATATTTTCTTCATCCCATCTGGTCACCCTATAACAATCCATCCCTGCAGCCAAAGGATACAGCACTCTTTAAAATAAATAAAATAAATAAATACCACTCTGGCACCATTACACAAACTGTAAAGCATACTCCCCAATAAAAGCAATGAAACTAGAGAAAGGCATTGTCTATGGACAGATGTAGGATGAGGCAAGTGGTTATAAATCTACAGTCCACTGTTTTGCCATGCACTAACTAGCTGCAGGGACCCTGTTACGGTGCACTAAAAGTTTCCTAGCGTGCTCTGAGTTACTGCTACAGCAGTACTTTTAGTGCATGGTAGCAGGTTCCACAGGGCCAGATTCACACCCCGGCTTGCCCCTTCATGTAGCCAATCTTTAAGTGTGGCCTGAATATCCCACCCAATTCCAGACTCTGCTAAGCCAAAGGCTAGGAATAAATTCTGGGGTCAAGGTTCCCTCATGCAGAACCCCTGCTGCCAGCATTCTCATGGGGTATATCTTCACAGCAGGGAGACTGTGTGATCTGCACCCACGTCTGAGAACCCAGGTTAGCCTAGCTAGCCTATGCGTGAGCAGCCACACTGCAAAGCTATACCCGAGTTACTGTGTACTCACTGATGCCATGCTCCTGTGTATGTCACCAGGACTTCTGTGGGCACATCCCATGGTTTTTTGCACTACAGTAAGCTGAGCTGCTCTATGATTCTTTACCACCAAATAATTGGAGAACTTCTCTGTCTTGCTGAGCACACAGGGAGAACTGTGGGAAGGCACTTGAGAAATATTAGCACTTGAGTGATTTAGCCTGTGTCCTCACTGCAAAGTGGGTGGGTTACCAGCCGGAGTGAGCAGAACCCAGGCTCTAACCCCCACCCCCATGCATGTCAGGTTGAAAGCACCACTTAACTCAGGTGAGAGGTTTTTGTGTATGGACAGGAGAGGGGTTAGGGACAACACCCAAGTAAGAGCTCAGGTTAACTCTGCAGTGAAGATGTATCTTGAAACCAATGTTGTTAGCCCCAGTGTGTGTCTGCTGATGAAGCAGCCTCTCACAGGAAGAGCTAAGCTCTTGAGAAAACTAGTCCCAAATCATTAGGGCATATGTGTGTCAAAAAAAGAGTTCCTTCAACTACACCTGAAGACAAATTGGAAGCAGTGTAGGATATGGAGCACTGTAACATTCACTCTGCACACAACACTATGGCCTTGGCTACACTGGCGCTGTACAGCGCTGCAACTTGCTGCGCTCAGGGGTGTGAAAAGCCCCCCTCCCCGAGGGCAGCGCTGCCATGGCAGCGCTGTGAATTGCCAAATGTAGCCAAGGCCTATCTAATGAGCAGGCAACACTGTTCTGTATTGACTGGAAGAGGTATTTTTATTTTTTAGGATAACCCCACGTAAATCACATAGTCACCTAAAACTCAGGCTATTACAGAGATCATCGTGCCTTAACTCCTCCGCCTGAAAGATCACACTCTTCTCACCAAATGTAGAGGAAAGGGAGGGCCGATGGCCAAAACTGCTACTTGAGGATCCAGGGATGCAAAGTTATCCTTCTCACTCCTAGTACAAGAAATTCAGTGGATAGCCTTCTAGCACTACTGCCCTTGGAAAAAAAATAGCCCTCTCTGATTTGTTAATCATCTGCATGCCAGCTATACTGAAATTTTGCACAACATATTGGGGGAGAAAAGAGACAACATCAGATTAATTAACATAGGTTATCCATTCACTAACCTCACTTACTTTTAGTACCGTTAGGACCAAATTCCTTTCTGCCAGCCATAAGGAAGAACGTATAAATAGGACAAGAAAGGTGCAGGTCAGTTCAACAAATATTTCTCTAAAAATGTCTGTCTGTCTGTATTTATTTAAATATTTATTTATTTGAAAAATCTGTGTTTTCATGTAGCATGACAACATCCTTCTGCTGGAGAAGTTTAGACGTAATGAACATTACATTAATGTACCAAAAATTAGCCCGGGTTTTGGTAGGGCTGTCTCAGATAGGTTGATGAGAAACTGTCATTTATAATTCATGATTAAGCATAAGCTGATCTTTGTGCTGTAACATGGATCATTTTAATTAAAGTATTTCCTTTCCAATATACAGGAGATGAGAATTAATTGAAAAGAGGGAAGGAGGCAGGAAAAAGTCTACAAAGGAAATATATCTAGTTCTAACACATCACTTTTCTGCTGTTCCAGCTTCTTAGGCTTGTTTATTTTCATAAAATCATTAAAATGTGGGCTCTTTTTAGGCTAGCAAATTAGGTGCTGTACACACTGATTCATGGGAAATTATCGCAAACCATGTCCTCTCACCAGGGTTACATGTTGATATTTTTTTAAATTACATTGCACCCATCATCAACATATCTAACATAATGAAGGCCTTTATAAACAAAAAAGCGTGTTTCCCCCACCCCCTTTCCTGCCCTACCCCAAACCAAAATTTTGACAAAGCCTCCGAGAGTAAATACCTACATGCAACAAGTCTTATCTGAAATGCTACATGACTAGCTAGATTTACTGTTAAAGACCACTTCCCTCTACAAACCCTTAGGCTATAGTTTTTTTTAAAGTTCATTATTCAGAAGGCCATTCATTTCCCTAAGATAGTGTGTCGCGTAAACAAAGCTAGACTTGTAATTTTCCACTTCATTTCAAAAGGGGGGAAAAAGTTTAATTTTCATGCATGCCTCAGAACATCACAGGAAATTTACAATGGTGCCAAAATGTGGTTTTAAAAGAGTCTCAATCAAGCATAAAACAAAAACAAAGGAACACATTCAGATCACATAAGCAGACTTCAGCTGGAAGGTGCTTGAAAAATTTATTGGGAGTACTGGAAAAATCTAATGGAGAAAAGCCGACAACCATAACATACTTGAAATAGAGGAACATAGGAATTTATGTACTGGATCGTACTAGTGATCCATCTCCCAACGGCTGCTTCAGAGATAAGTGCAAGAAGGAAGCGGTCATTCAGAGCTAGTGCAACAAACTCATTACAACCTATACACAGACAACAGTTTGTCAGGCCAGGACCTGCAGCACCTACACCAAAAGCCCCTACAACTTGAGCCCCTAGTGAGTAAACGACAGGCCCTTATCCTCACTGGGGCCAGCCAGTATCAACATGATCACATCCTACATCTTTGTAGCACAATACCACAACTTGAGCAGCTCTTTAAAATGATTGTCACAATGCGTCTTTATTATTTCCCTATGCAAAGATGGCAGTGTGATCTGAGCAACAGGCTTGAAAAGTCTTATGGAAGCCCAGTCAGCAGGGAGAAGGGTTTGCCATCCTCAGCAAATTTTACCAACAGGGAATTAAATGTTGAATCTTAGTCCTCCTTCAGAGTGAAACAAAGTCCCAAGAAGGAAGCCCTTGTCTGTTCTCTGTGGTTCATACAGCATTGTTCATAATGTTAGGGAGTTGCTTCCATGCTCAAGGCCAAAATTTCCACTTCTCTCACAGTTGTGCAGTGTGCATATACCCTCTATCCAGCTGGCTGCCCTCCACCACAAAAGCGGCCGGCTGATTCTAGTATTGCCAAAGCCCGAGCATTAAAAAACCCTGAGTCAGGCCCCCAGAAATTCATCAGATTATTTTTAAACCAATTAGATTTTTTAAAAACAATACATTTGGGGTTCTTTTTATTTTCCTGTTGGGTTTTGAGCCTTTAAGGTGCACTCGCGTCACATTTTCAAGCTTTTCTTTGCAACCACATTGTCTAGAAATCTGTTACTCTTTATAAAATTAAAATGGAAATTCTCATGGAATTGCATGACTCCAGGAGCTCAGGATTTAACAACTATTGTGAGACACGTGATATCACAAGAGTTGGCAAGACTGTTTCCTACATTAGTGTACAGTAGGTGTAATATACCTGTAAAATTATGTATTCATATTAACAATGGGCTTGAGTCATTCCTGGGTGGTAGGCCCCAGCTATGCTACTTCAGTCAGGAACATTCTCCCGCAAAGGGGCCGAGAGCCAGCTGCCAAAGCACACAATGTGGGTGGGTTCAGCCCAGGCCATCCACCCTCTCTCACTAGTGAATGTTTCCACCAGCATAGCAAAGGCTGATCTGGCCCCACGTCTTTAAATATCTATGATAAAGATGTATAACTTTAGAATACTAGGAACTCAAAACCTAACCCTTGGGGAAATGCTGCCATTTAACAAGGCACTATACAAACACCCAGCTGATTTTAAAGGTACACAAGTCCCAAGGGGAGTGACATATGCATGAATATGAGACTAAGCCCCCAAACGAAAATGAAGTAATATTTCCTAATGACCAACATGAAAACATTATGCTTCCTAATGCCAGGACATTGCCGTTACAACATTTCTGACCTTCAAAACATAATAACCAGCATTTTTTTCCTGCTTTAAAGTAGCCTGGATCTTAACACTTATATTTACACATTATTCCATGGAATGGTTAAATATGTACTCAACTCCACCCCTGCCACACGCATGAAAACGTACTCGCTTTCCAGGCTAAAAGCATAGTATAATGTTTTAGATTAGATCTGGGTGTCAACGGCTTCTGAGAATATCTGGCACGAAAAGCTCAGCTTTCAATAACCAACACACAGAGAGAACAAGCTCCTCATTCACTGGAGGGAGTCAGCAGGGAGAACTGTTTGCCATCCTCAGCAAATTATTTTATAAACAGGAATTAATGCTGAATCTTAAGTCCTTGAAGAAGCTCTTATTTTTAAGTCCACAAGAGAGTTTACCAGCCATTAAAACATTTCTAGCTAACATAAAAAACGGGGAAAGAATCCCACTGAATGTTGTGAAAGAAAAAAAAACAAGAAAACCCATCACATTATAACAATGTGAAGCACTCATATTTTGCTTGTTTTTTTAAAGGAAAATATTAAAGCCATTTAAACACTGCTTTGTTTACAATAGGAAAGGGCAATAAAGCTGGTGAAAGCTGCAGTAACTATCAGTATTAAAGAAATCCAGTGGTTTAAAAAAAATTGTCACAGAAACACTGAAACAGGGAAAGGAAAATACTTCAGATTATCTAGTCTAATACAGGATTCTTCCCTAAGGTAAATTTCATTGCTTTGTCCACTATGAAAAGTTTCTGCTGCTTCCTTTGGGAGACTGTATTAGAATCCAATCTCATTATTAAGATATTTATGCTGAAGCCTAAGTTTTCCTTTTCTTTATTTCATCACATTGATCCCAAGTACTATAGCAGGAGTAATCCTTCAGGTAAGGCCTATGAGACAATTGCCAAAGTAAGTCTATGTGGAGCCTACTAACAACTTTTATAGTATCTCTTTAATGTGTATGATCATTCCGTTTCCTTGGAGGGAATTACTGAGTGGAGGACAACAGAGTTTAACTAGAGTAAATATATAAAACTAAGAAGAGGGCATTTAGACTGGAGGTCAGGGAAAAAAAAATCTTCCTAACCATGTGATCTATTAGGCTATGAAAGAGTTTCCCCAATAGAGAAGTGATAGATGTCTGACTGCTGGAACTTTTAAAACTAGACATGGCAATCCTGAAAACAGTGAGAAGGAGATGATAGATATGACTTCAGTCATTCTTTTCCATTTCTAATACCTGCTGTTTAGGATAACGCTTATTGTGCTCTTTCGCTATGATCTCTATATCTGAAAATGGTTACTTCTTTTAAAGTTACAATCAGTGGGCCAGACCTGCAGCTGGTGTAAACTGGAACCTCTACCACTGAAGTCAATGGAACTACAGCAATTGACAATCTGGCCCAGTGCCTTATCAGGTAACACAAAAACAATACACTCTGGAGACCTTCAAAGTTACTTAACTGGACAACAAACAGTTAAAAACAAACAGTCTTTTCCCTTAGAGCACTGAAAAGCTACAGAACTGAGACATCAGAATCTAGAGATACCAATGACTAGATGATAACTCCAGACAGGCAAAGTTGTATAGAGCGGATAAAGTCTGCAGTGAAGGAGAAATCAAAGCATGCTCACTTGCTGTTTGAGATAACAACCTGCTTCGGAGAGAGGCTGATGCTGCAATGCCAGAAGCTTCCGCAACAGTCCACTGTGAAAATGAGGTGCTCTTAAGAATAACAGGTGCAGCAACATCGTCTGGAGTGAGACTTTCTCTAAGGTGGGACAGATGAGGGATGTCTAACACTCTGCCACTGGTTTGAGACTTAAAATGCCACTTATATATATTAGTGCGGACTTCACCAACTAAATGTAGGATTTGCAAAGCCTCATCAGGCTCTCAATGATTAAGACCTTGGCTGTGAGGGCAGGCGTTTTAAATCTGAATTAACTAGGGTTACCATACGTCCGGATTTTCCCGGACATGTCCAGATTTTTGGTCCTCAATTCCCCGTCTGGGAGGAATTTCCAAAAAGCTGAACATGTCCGGGAAAATAGGGAGGCATGGTAAGGGGACCGCCTCCTCCCTGGGGTTCAACTTTCCCAGCTCCTGCCACTCTCCCCAGCGCAGCAGCAGCCGGAGCCTGGGAGGAGGCGGCTGTGAGCTGGGATGCTGCCGGCCGGTGCCGCTCGGCCAGGGCTGGAGCCACTCGGCCGGGGCTGGTGGGGCCGGGGTGCTCGGCTGCCGGCCAGGGCTGGGCCGGAGCCGCTCGGCCGGAACTGGGGCCCGAGCCGAGCTGGAGCCGCTGGGACCGGGGCTGGGGTGCTTGGCCAGCGCCGCTCAGCCAGGGCCGGGCCGGAGCAGCTCAGCCAGGCTGGTAGGGCCGGGGTGCTCGGCTGCTGGCCGGAACTGGGGCCCGAGCCGAGCTGGGCCGGAGCGACCAGGCTGGGGGTGCTTGGCCAGCGCCGCTCGGCCAGGAGCAACTCGGCCGGGGCCGCTGGGGCCAGGGGTGCTCGGCCGCTGGCTGGTGGGCCCGAGCTGAGCTGGGCTGGAGCGACCAGGGCTGGGGGGTGCTCGGCCGCCAGGCGGCGCCGCTCAACCAGGCCCGGGGGTGCTCAGCCGCTGGCCGGAACTGGGGCCCGAGCTGAGCCGGAGTGACCAGGGCTGGGGGTGCTCGGCCAGAGCCTCTTGGCTAGCCGCTGGAGGGAGCTGCTCGGACAGGGAGGGCAGACTGGGCCGCGTCTCCTCGCACCCCCCCGCCCAGCTCCAGCCCCAGCTTACCTGCTGCCTGCCTGTTTCAGGCTTCCTGCGAACATTTGATTCGTGGGAAGCAGGGGAGGGGGAGGAGCAGGGGGTGGAGCGTTCAGGGGAGGGGGAGGAGTTGGGCGGGGACTTTGGGGGGAGGGGCGGAGTTCGGGCGGGGCCTGGGCAGGGAAGGGGCGGGGCCGGGGCCTCTTGGAGTGTCCTCTCTTTCAGGGGCTCCAATATGGTAACTCTAAATTAACAACTGTGACTTCAGTAGAGTTAACCTAGGTGTACACTGATGTAAGAGAGCTCAGACTCAGGCCTTGTGTATTTAAATCCCTCCTTTCCCTTCCTTGTATCTTTTCTCCCCTCACTGTCAGTTCTTGCATATTTCTCCCAGCCTATCACGCGACAAGATGTTTCATTTCATTTTATTTATTTTACAAATTTACATTTGAAATTATTTGTATATAAAAATTCTGATGATCTGTTACACAACATTAATGTTAAGGATCTTTCTACGTTTCTTGTTGTTCTTGTAAAATCACAATAAGATACAAGCATGTGGCACTTCTTTGCCTCATGCCTTACTTCACACCAGAGGTGTGCATTAATCAGCACTGCCATACAGTCTGTCATGTCTCATTACTTCAGGAAAATGCACTCTTGATTATCCTGAATCAATCCTATGGTACAAACCCCATGGTTTTCTTGACATACATATGATGTTCTGAATATCTATTTTGGCCAATGGCATTGCTATATTGCTCAAACCTATTACTCCACTTTGAATTCTGAAGCAGACAGACACTAAGCCACAAGGTACAGATGTGACCAAAATTGAAAAGAAAAGCAGTTTATGTACTGTACCACATTAACAGCTAAAATCGTTCCACATCACTGAGTTTGCCACAAAGAGGGACTGACTGGAATAGAAAAATGTGTTATCCTTATCAAGGCAATTAAAAGCACCATTTAAAAACAACAGTGACTAACGCAAAAACAATCAAACGGTATTTGTATTAAAAATTGTAAAAACAGTAACTACACTCCTCAACATTTGATGACGTTTAACTTTAACTTATCTAAAAAAAACACAAAACAAAACAGATTCAAAGAAAACATAAGTTCAAATAGCTGAGATATTTAAGAGAGGGACTTTTCCTCAATGAAAAAAAAAATCAGAAAGGAGAGATTAAAAAAAGAGACCTGATCAAAACAAACTGATCTTGCCAGCAATCTTTTGTTTTTCCCCCTGAATATATTTATGTTCCACATCTAGTCACAACCCAGATTTTCCCCCAGCCCTATTCTCCAGTGAAGTGAAAAGCATCCGTTCATAACAGTCTGTTGCCATGTTAATGGTAACAGCACATTATCAATTCCTCACTTCGTATTTGAAGAAAAATAAAATAGGACGAGAAAGGATGTGAAGAAGAAACCTTTGTTTAAAGCACGAACAGTAAAGCTGGAAGAAAAAAAAGAGGAGGTGGTGAAACATAAGAAGAAATGGATGTAAACTGAGTTAAAAGAGGGTAGTGCTGGGGCCAGTTTTTCAAAAGGCCTCCAAAAACATGCTTGGCAGCCACAAACGCTCCTTTTCCATCTGCAAACACATTCATTTCCAAATTTTGCAGGTGCAGTTGTGGCCGTCCCTTTCCAAATTTGGTCCCTGCATAAAAGCTGTACATTGCCTTCCTCAAGGAAAATGCAGAGCTGGCAGTGGGATTCAGATTAGGGGCACAATCCACCATGGTGCTGAGCGACTCCTACAAGATGCAGAGTACTCTGATCTTCCTACACAGACAATAAACCAAATCCTCTAAGGTGCAGCATGCCGCCTGTGAGGTGCTGTATGCTTTCGAACCCCACTGACTGCAATGCGAGGAAAGGTGCTCAGCATCTTGCAGGACTGGGTCCCAGAGGCCCAATTCTGCAAGGGGACAAACACTAATACCACTCAAAACAATGGGCTTAAATTCTACAAGGTACTGAATGCCTCCTGCAAAATGGAATTTTTAAAAAAGGCACTGCAAGATGCACACCACCATGCAAGATCATGCCTGAAGATTGGAATGATCTAGGGACTAAAAATGCAATCTCCACACTTCTCCTGGAATTGTCTGCAGTGAGTGGGCACTGACTGACACTTGTTCAGAAAACAGTATTACACCCATGTGAGAAGCAGCCATGAGAGCATGTGGGGTCTGTTTGCAGAACAGCAGTACAATGAGAACAAGTTGGTTTGCTCTAGACATTATACAAAGGCTTATTTTTAAGCACAAATGGTTGGAAGGGTGCCTCCTCTGAGTTAACAGCAAATAAAAGGCAGATTTATAATTTCTAATCTATGCAAATATCTACTCTGCAGGGCATCACAAAGACTGCTTTATCAGACCCCATGCAAATCCAAGGCGCTTTAAATATCCAAAGCAGACACAGCATCTCCACCTGTGATGGCTGGTAACTCGGAGAACAGCTGGATGACTGGAAAAGTTGTTGTTTAACTAGCCTGTAATCGAAATAGTGCCTGCCATGAATAAATCTTTTGCTAATGTGCCAAGACCCCTACTCCCAACCCAATTACTTCTGCTATAGTTGCCATTAAGGGCAGATAGTTTGAGAAATCCTAGAAAAATCTGTGGATAAACCAGGTAGCAAAACTATGTGAACACTTAAATAATAAAACTGCCACTGATTACGCAGCAAAAAGAGCCTGCACTTATATTAGACTCTGCTATGAATTTCTAAACTGGAAAGGAACTTTTACCCAAAATTTCTTGGTGTAGTTTTCTGCCACCATGGACTTTCTGTTATCTTACTCACTCATCCAATGATGAGTTATCATGATGTGCATTTATAAAGGCAACCATCACCATAATTCATGGGCTCACTTCACGTGATTTAGATGAAGAGTCAATATCATCTTCCCAAATATAGGGCCCTGTTTAGGTGACTAATAAGTTGATCTGTAGTCAGTTTATTACTAATTCTCCTCTCTAGGCAAGGCAGGGTTTCAGGAGTCTCTACCCCACCCTGCGGATCCCAGTCCTTTTTAACTGATGGACAATTGTTATGTTAAAAGGCGTAACAGCCTTCCTATATCATTCCACGGCGTTAAGCTGAATTTGCCCCCCCCCACCCCCAGGTAGGATTTCCAGAAGCGCTCAGTGTTGGCCTAACTCTGCTCCCATTGAAGTCAATGGTAAAACTCCTCAATTATGCCACTGCTGAGTGCTTCTTAAAATCCAACCAGTAAATGTCTGGTCAGCTGTGCCATCTTGGGTGGACCAGCGGGAGCGTAATACTGACAGTGGCAATTTGTTCCCATCTCCCCTAACTTTCACCCACCTAGCTGGGAACTATTTCCCAATTTCCTCTTAAATCCTAACATTTCTCCCCTTTGATCTTGCCTGCTCCTTAGTCACAGTTACTGGATGCTGATGTGCAACTGAGTTGTCGCTATCTGGAGGTGTTAGATGGAGTCAAGCTCATTTTATCTTTAAAGTGACAGAATTTACATTTCTGGGGTATAGTTTCCTCTCACCAGTGTTTTCACAATGTATGGAGTACTGTCATATCAGAGTCCATGTGTCACAGGGAGAGTGCAGGAGAGCACACAGCCAATTGGACATCTTACCTTCCCTCCACCCACACAGCCCAAAGGCCAAGGATGATTCCCCCCCTCTTCCATACCACAAGGAGTGGGATCTGGGCTCTTGGTTGTCCCTTCACTCCTGGAAGTCGGGAGGGGCATTTGGCTCATAAACCACTGCAGAACCACACTTCCTAATCTTATAGAGCAGGGGCAGAGAAAACTGTGTCAGTAAACGAAATGCCTGGAATTTTGAATATTTGTGGACTATGTGTATATTTGTTGCCCTGAACACTTTATATAACAATCCAGGACTATTAATCAAAGCCAGGAATTCCAGGCCCTGCAGTTAGTTGAAAGCCTAGATTAAGAGAGCAGTTATAGATCACACTCTAAACATGACCAGGCTTAGGCTTAGACATATTTCAAGCAGAGCAAA